ATATATATATCCATAGGACAAAATTGAGAAAAAGGATTCATGCAACAAACCCCACTTAGTGGGAAAAACGATTGTTGTTGTTGTTGTTGTTGTTGTTGTTGTTGTTGTTGTATTTGTGTGTGTGTGTGTGTGTGTGTGTGTGTGTGTGTGTTATTTATAATATTCATTCTTTGACACTCATTTCTCTCTTAATGAGTACCAAACCAATCCAAATAGTAATAGATCACAGGCCTCACAAAGTTGCAGTACTTCTTGGGTTATACAAAAATATTGCCCAAATCCTGCCATGATTAAATAAGTCAACAATCTAGGACTGGTGCATAACCCATGTACAAAAACAATACTCCTAACAGTAAATCTTAAATCATGAACATCGACCACAACAACCAATAAATTTCAAAAATGGTAGTAAAAAAAATTGCCCATTATACATGCAACAGTGTCTGATCAATAGAAAATCAAGACCATCAATAAAAGAAGGAAAACATCATAGAAAGTAAGAAATTATGCCCAAATTATGGTTCACAGTTTCACATTAACGGATCCCTTCAGCAAATCAGCTTAAGCACATCACAGCTCTCACTAACCCAATATTCAACACCAAGGGCAAATGCGTGTCATGGACAATTTCTTTCAAAAGAAAGGGCCTTACAGTGAGAGGCCGACTTCCACGGTTCCCGGCCCTGTAAACGAAAAGCGGGTGAAGAGGCTTGAGATGGAAATGGAAGCCACGGGAGGACGGGAGAGTGCGCAGTCACCGTTGCCACCGTCTGGCGGGAGGACGTTGGCGAAGAGAACAGGGATCGTGTGGCCATGGCGGCGGCTGAGGCCATGGAACTGAGGTAGAGGATAGTGCTGAGTTTCGCGTTAGGGTTTGGAATCGAGCAGCTTCGGAGCTCACACAAACTCTCTCAGAGGTCGTCGATGGCCAATCTCTACTTCGTAGTCTCCCTTGTACTCGTTGATTCGGATGCGGACAGCAGGGAGGATAAGAGTTGTGTGGCTCATCGGGTTAATGTGAGGGCGAGCGCATGTGGTGGGACGACGACGCATCTCTCCGCGTCTCATTCCGAGGACCCGGTCATAGTCCTATGGTCGGCTGGCAATTTGGCTCGGGTGAACAGCTCGTGTTCGGCTCGTTAGGCAGCTCGTTATCGGCTCGTTCGTTAAGCCTAACGAGTAAAGCTCAAATTATAAACGAGCCAAACACGAACAGCTTTTTGTTCGCTCGTGTTCGGCTCGTTTTAGCTCGAAATAAAAAAAAAAATTATATAACTTTTTATATAGCAATATATTACATATATTATTTATATAATAATATATTATATATATTTATGTCTAAATTTAAATCATAATGCCTCATGTAGCAATGTGGTTAGTGTCTTCTTTTGTATAGATTTAATTCAGGTTCGAATCTCACACATTACATCGATTTTTCTCAATTTTAGATTAACGAGCCAATTTCGAGCCGAACACGAACACAAATATTTAAATCGAGCCGAACACGAACACATTGTTTACGAGCCGATTTCGAACACGAGCTATTTCGAACGAGCCGAACACGAGCCAAGCCTGAGCTGGCTCAAGCTCAGCTCGTTTACAGCCCTAGTCCATGCTCGCTTGTGACTTTATGTCAGTAGTTTATAAAATCAGGTGGATAAACTTATATTATTTAAATATTTTGTGATATCTGATTATTTCTAAAATAAATTTAGGAGTTTAATATTTATTATTTGATTGCTGGTAACTCAATTTTTTAACATCATATTTAAAATATAATTATCATTTTCTTTTTAAAAGTGAAATATATATATTTTCTGGTGGAAGCTTATGATGAAGATTTGAGTGATATGCATGTGAATATAATTTATGAATAATTAATCAATTTTTACGTACTTTACACTTCAATTATATGGTCAGATACTCAACAATTCAATTGAAACCTTAATGACTTAAGGTTAAATCATACTCGAAGCCAAGTAGGATGCATTCAAATGTCGCTCGACGGAGTCGAACAAAATAACTAGACTATTCATCAACCTTCCACAATGGCCACCATAAAAGTCTGATAGCCCGTCTGGGACATATTTATTGGCTAAATGGGCAGCTTGGCATCCTATAAAGCTACCGAAATATTTTTAAGTACTTTGTATCTTATTTTTATTTAGCCAACCATTAGTATAATCAAAATTACTCCCATCCTATAAAGTTGGGATTTATGATACACAATCTAAAATATGCAATCTTATACACAAAAACTAGTAACACATTTTCTCTTTTCAGATAGGATTTGGTTCATATTCGGTTAAAGTTTGGATTTATTGTGTTCTAGTTATTATTTATTTATTTTTATTTGCTCGAAATCAGATAGTGTTTGGCTCATATTTGATTCAAATTCTAATGAATCAAACGCATGCAATTATATTATTCTTCAAAAACTTCAAACGCTAGTTGATCATAAATATGTCGAGTTCTAAATAACCTACATATAAGCTAACAACCAAGTAAATCAAGCTCAACCCATGAATCTATTTACATGCATTTAATGTATGAATCTATTTACATATATGAATGTACCCTTCAAAACCATTCTAACAACGGGTGCATATCAACAATTTTAATTTATATAAATAACGGAATACAATACCTCCATAATATTATCAAATAAAAATACTTCCAGAGTTAAAGAGAGTAGCATACAGCAAAAACAGAAAAAAATGATGTAACACACCAACAAATCCAAAATTTAAGAACTAAGAAAATGCAATACCATATGTACAAATTCCAAAGATTCTCAGATTCAAAATTAGCTTCATAAAATTTCCACCTTTTCCCTCATTGAGTCTGGTTTCTAAAAAGAGTAGCTAACCAGCAATGCCTTGAAACAGAAAAACTTCTGAGTTGAAAGCAGGCCTTTCATCTCAATACTGGCATCAGTCAAACCGCAAGGTGTGCTAAAATTGAGTTGTGCTTCAGTATTATATACAAGGGTAGTATTAAAATATAATAAGTCTCCATTTTCTTCACAGAGCTAGACTACTCCAGTTTCGCTACCACTAAATTTCCGCTTCGATAACCGAACAGCATTATTCATAGCAACACTCACAGCGAATGCTGTCAGCTGCATGAAAAATTTCATAATAATGTGATTATTAAAACCAAAAGTAGAAAGAGAATGTGAGAATTTCAGAGAACTTACGTGAGCAAGGCCACAGCACATAAGGCTAAATCCCTTGAAGTCAAATGGAGCACTTTCCGAGAGGAACAAAGCTAAGTTCAGACAATTTACTGTAAGTTTACAGCCATTCTGAAGAGCTAGAAGTAGTTCTGTTTGCATAACAAACTGGTTACCTGTTAGAGGAGTGAAGAGCATGGGAGAGATTATGCTAGCAATTGAGCTTATTCCTGTAATTCCACCTTGTGCCAAGCCCTGGATTAAGATGAACGTGCCAGTTTTTCAAGATTAGTGAGAGAAATGAAATGGATTAAGCTTATAAGATCGATGAGGTTATTGTAGATACAGTCAATAGATGTTCCCGCCAAACAACCTTGGTTCTTCATGCGAAAGCACTTACAGGCCTTAAACATGCATTTAAAAATATCATTTACTGAAAAAATAGTGTGAAAGCAATTACAAGCCTTAAACATGCATTTAAAAATATCATTTATTGAAAAATAGTACTTCTGAGATTCCTTGAGATAAAAAAAATTGCATACAGAGGAAAAAATAAATATTGCATAAAAGATTTTTAGTTCATCCAAAGATTGAGAATGGGCCAGCAACATAAAAAAGGAAAAGTTCGGGCAAATTTCATCATTTTCTTGAATTTTTAATCCTCAATGAAATCTAAAGCATTTGATATCATGATGCTTAAGGTCTAATCCAGGGATAGTTTCATTAGTTCAATGTCTCATCGGCATGCTTTCTAGAATTATTGTTTTGTGGCATTAGTTGTCTATTTACGACTTGAAGTTCATGGACTTCGAATACGAGGAGAAGCTACACTTTATGCCAATTATTTGGGATCAAATTACTAGCCTTGCTCCATCATCCATTCTTAAATAAAGGGTAAAAACTCCATTAAGTCAAATTTAGCTAAAGATCTGCAGGACAAATTTGATTTTTTTTTTTTTTTTCAATCTACAAAAAAGGACCGAAGAGCTCAACTAGTGCTAACTCTGCTCTTTTTTCTAACTATCCAGACTTTCATTCATTATATTCATTATCTATGGTAAGCAATAAAAGCTAGTACCTGATCGTTAAGCCCGACCCTTTTTGACACGATGGTTCTTAGCTGCACATAAAAACAAACATGTTTAGCACCAAGGTGGCAATGAGGAAGTATGAGATCTGGAATGAGGGCTAAAGTGAAAGAGTGAAATTGGAAATAATTATAGGCGGGAGCGGTGGGCTGTAGACAAGAATACTTACACAAGGGTGAAGGAACACACTCAAAACCACAAAGGATGAAGAAAAATATGGAACCTGCGTGTCAATTTCCATAGTAAAAAATATAACAAATATCTTAGATTCTAGTAAAATTATGCAATAATATTTCGACATGACTACTCATAGAAAGTAGCAAAGTAAACCAAGAGCTAATGATAAGCAGTGCATCATTTGAATCACATGAACTATTCTAACATTTTGATCTGGTATTTGTATATTAACATAAAAAATATCATATGAATGAACACCATGATAACTGAGAATTTTAAGATACTTATTGGAGTGTCATTCAATGTTTCATTCGAGACTAAATATTTTCAAAGTAAAAAAGGTTCAGAAATATCATTTAAGGGAGCATGGTCCATCCATCCTTTTTTAAAAAGGATATAATGGGGATAACTTGGTTCTAAGTTATGTAAAGGAAAAAGAATTTAAATTAGAGTCAACTCCACATACAAAACTGAACAAGAAATAAATTGGAATAAGGATTCATAAAGTTAAACTTAATTAGTTGAGATGAGGGCATGATGCATTCCCAAGAGTCAAATAAAAATAATGGGCTTACTCTCTCCTTGCTACTTTAGACTATCCCAATTTAGAAGAAATAGAGTGGACTAAGGAAATAAAGCTAATAAATCATTAAAGAAGAAATTTTGAGGAAGTGTAGCGCGTCACAAAAAAATACTGGCTTGACTATGGTGGATGCAAATATAATTAGTACACAGACCGTTCATAAGAAGTTTTTAGCCATAATATCATTACAGATAGGCTTAAATGTGGGAATCATGCACTAAAGAAATACGCATTTACTTTTGAAAGTACTGATAAAAATAGAATTGATTGTAAGTACCCAGGAAGACCATGCAATGCTTGTAAGTAAAACCTGCATAATATGGAGAAAAAAGTCAAGAATAAATGAATAATAGTAATAATAACATTCACCAGTATTTTAAATAGGAAAAGAACATGGAATGTGAGGAAGAAGGTTACATTTGCACAACTTGCCAAGAGGCCCACGCTAAGTAGTATTTCCTCTCCAATGGCAGGTGCTAAGACAGGCATAAGAAACAGCTGCGTATTTAGATAATTTTAGTCATGAAACATCCTTTTTCACACATACATAGAAATTTTTATTTATGCATATCGGGTTGTACTCATTAAGCGCATTTATACATTTAGGTACACACGAGTAGACACTCATATAGATTAGTCAGAGATTAAAGATAGCACATGAAGATGTAAAGCCACAGTTGAGCTAACTGAAGAATGATTTTGATATATTACCTGTGAAATAGCCCCAGCAACCCCACTAATGAGCATTAGGTCAGCATACTGGTCTTTGCTGAATTTGAACTGAGCTTTAAGGAAGTACTGCATGGTTAAATAAAAGGGAAAAATCAAAAATTTTTTTCTCCAAATATTTGGTGAAGAAAGTTGAATGCATAAATTTTAAGCCATTCCTATTAATAACAGTATTTGGTCTTAATTGTAATTTAGCTAAATGGTTGTTTGGTCGCAATTATTTAGAATTTAGTTATATTTTAAATGTAGCATAAAGCAAACTCAATACATTTTAAATGTTTTTTTTTTATTGGTTAGTTGTAAAATAAATTGAGAAGACCAGATTTTGGTTTTTTTATGATTATAAAGTGCATCAAAATTTTAGTTTTTTAATAAAATTCTTCTTTGCTATTATGCTTCAATACTAAAGTTGGGGCACAAGCAACGGATATGGATTCGATGGGAGTGGGGACTACATCGAAAATGCCATTATTGATGAAGTTTCAACACCCTAAGAAATTACTTTAATTTTGCTTTACTCCCAACCAAATGCTAAAAAATGTAAAACCCTTACATTTCAAATACAATAGACTCAAACCACTCTCAACAAAGTAGACACTAAATAATTTGCAACAACTTCAAGGTCTTTCATTTGATTAAAATTTTCTTTGAGATAATGGGTATGAAAGTTCTAATCATCAAGTTCTGCATTGCTGTATCAAACCAAATTTATCTACAGATTAGCACAATGAGACAAATTGGCAAGTAATATCAATGTTCTTTCAAAAGGAAATTTTTTTATTGAACCTTCTATGCAACTCTCTCAATGCAAACTTCCTATCAAAAACTCCAGAAATATTGCCTGCAACATCAAACCTTTTAAAGTAGAAATGTATATGGAACAATTTATTCTCTACAAAGGAAAGATTGCCTGCATATAAGATGCGATGGATGGCCTAAGAAAAACAATCAGTAATGATGCAAAAAAAGAAAATTCTGAAAAAAAGATTATTACAAAAACATTGATCAATTTCTCTATTTCTCCAAAAGTCTTCTCTTACAGTTCCTAAGTTGGTAACTTGAGAAATAGAAGCAGCATAGCTGGGGAGGAACAAACCTAAAACTTTATAAGAAAAAGTAACAATAAAGAGGCAGAGAGAAACCTAATTACAGCAAGAATACCACAATAAAAGAGAAAAAAGTTACCATTATAGAGGCCTGAAACCCACTTGAACCAAGGCTATCAATGAACGCAACAACAGCTGCTCGTGACAGTATAAAGCTGCACGAGCATGAATGAAAAATGTAATTATTCAACACAAACTTTAGCCCTAAGGAATAGGGTGAAAAAATGACGATATTTTTAAAAATGAAAAACATTTCTAAAATTTCTAAATGCATTTTCCTAGTGGTAATCTATTTCAGTGACAGTATATAAAAACCATCACAATACAAGAGGTAAGAAAATATCACAATGGTCGAAGGATTTAACAGCTTCAAACGCATCTTTCACACAAATCTTGAATCTCGAAACAAATCGCCAAAGAGTTCTCAGGAGTTAACCATCTCACGGTTTACCAAATCTGTATCCACTAAAAATCCAACCATAGAAGCCAGATTTCCCCTTAAAACATTCACTTCGATCTTTTCATTATTTTGTGTTATTAGAAAGGGAAAATAACATAGATAACTAAAACGAATCGAAATCGTTATCAAAGATGATGACGAGAATCAAATGGGTACTCACCTACTTCTGAAAAGGCTAAGCATGTCCAACAGCGAGGATGCCTTCCCAAGAATCGGCAGTTTTGCAGGAGAGTCGGCGTCGGAGGGAGGGGAAGAAGAGCAGAGGAGACGGCAGGATTCGTCGGCGAGAGAAGCTCCACCATCCGTCTCGGCGAGGAAGAATCTCATGTACAGCATTGCGGAAATGGCCACAGCAGCAGCAACCTGGAAGGTGAGGAAGGACGGGATGAAGCGAGCGGCTAGCGTTGCCGATACGAATCCGGCGGCACTGATGCCGGAGAGCACACCAAAAGCCGAGATCCGCCGCCCCTCGCATGTTTTGTCGGCCTGTGGAGATTGAAGCGAAAATTCTCCGCGACATTAAGAGCCTTATCGAGGAACTCATTCATGACTGGCTGATGCCAAAGAATTTGCATGAGGTAATATTTTCATTTAAAGTAAAATTTAATTAACATATTTTTATTTTCTAAATATCCTCTGGCTCAACTTCTTATATATTTCAGAAATTGACATATTTATCACCCAATTATCACTTATTTTTTATATCTAACACATAAATTTTAAATATTTACAATTATAAAACTTTGACGTATAAATTTTGCATAAAAAAAATATATTACTTCTTCAAAAAAATATATTACTTCTTCAAAAATTATTGTTTATATATATATATATATATCATTAAGACTTGTCCGCCCTTAAGTGGTAAATTGGTAGTCAGCTACGCTGTCAGTTGTAAGACCTCTCTGACCTGAGTTCGATCTCTACAAGGACGAATATCATATGGAGAGAGTTACTTTCAAATAACACTCTTTTCAATATATATATATAACAATCATTCGTGTAATTGTTAAAATTTTAAAATTTATTTAAGCCATGTGGAGTTGATGAACAACTGAACCTACAAGAGCTATAAAAAGCAACAATATATATACACAAAGCTCACTAACTAGTATAGCAAAATATTATAAATGAAATGAAAAAAGAAACTTACCACATATGCATGGGTGAGGCATTGCATGGTGCCTTCAGAAAACATGCCAGTGAACATTTTGATGAAGTAGTAGACGTAGAAGAATGGCCTCGTGCGACCAAATGCCAAGATAACTGCAACATATCATGAACCCTCTTTAAAAAAATAGATATATAAATTAAATATAAGTGAAAATAATGCAATTAGTACTCCATTTCGATTTAAGAGAGAGGAGGAGAAAATAAGAAATTAATTATTTGGAATAAACATTAAGATTTAGGATGATTTGCATATATATCAATAAATTATAAATATTCTTTATTATATCTAGCATTTAAATTTTAATATATTCATATATATTATTTTATTCATGCATTATATATAACTGGTTACCTG